AAATTCTTTTTGAAAGATATTTTAAAGGCAGTGCGATACCATGGTGAACTTTAGTACAAATTGAAAAGTGAAAAATCTGTCACAAAGAGTTACAATGTGATTATGAGCTAAATACTCTTGGAAAGATAGTGATAATACAAAGGATTTGATACATTTATTTAGTCCCTGGGAAGCAGATCTTGTATTTTCTTTGTTCTTTACTATATAGTTTAGATTGACCATCCAATTCCAATGTAACCAAATTGTAGTATTGATACATAAAATATCATAACTATGAAATAAGAGGAATTTTCCAGAAAAAAAAAAAACATTAGTTACAGAAAATTTAAAGCCTTGAGAGTAATTTAAATTATATGCATACAGGTTAAAAATGTTTCTTGAACTATGTTATTAGCACCACAAGCCACCAAATTATGTTGTCTTTCTAATCATGAATAATTCAATCTTAAATATAAGTGATATGGCAGTACTAACAATAATAACAGTTTCTTTAGAATTTCTTTCTATATTCTTTAGATATACCAAGTGTTCTTGTAGAAATATCAGGTATGTTTTTCTACCATTCCTGTCTGAATGTTTCTTCTTTTTAATTAAAATTAACGAAATTCATCTTCATCTTAACCTAATAAAATAAACCTCCCTAGACAATCAAGATTCCATTTTTCTGAGTTACATGACATAGCTCTAGAAATAACCAGTTTTACACCTTGAGGAATTCTCTTTTATAGCCAAAAATGTGGGCAATGATTTCTTTATTTGAATGAAAGATGCATGAATCACATACCTAAAGCAGAGCTCCCCACCTTCTTTTTTTAACCTAAAGTAAATGAAAATATAGAAGTACAGGAACATGTTAACCAGTTCCTTTTCTTAACTAAAAACATTGTTCATTTTTGAGGTGCAGGATTAACCACTATTTCATTTAGTTTGATTTATCCAACATATGAGCTAATCCAGTTTTTTTGGTTTGTTTTTTGTTTTTTGTTTTTCATTTCAAAGCATGATTTTTAGAAATAAATATGTTTATGTGGTCAAAGCAACCAATCCAAATCCTGCAATGCATTTCTTGAGAGGTGTTCAAAAGTCTTCCTGAATTATTGCCCCCAGCCTTTGCTTATTGTCAGGTAGGCATAGGAAGAAAAAGCTTGTATTTGTGTAGTTAGACACACAGTGTGTCTCTGTGCTCACATGCACTTGGTGAGGTCAGAGCTTATTCATTATCATGCAGGAGCTGAGGCCTGGGGGATCCTCACAGCCTGATATGCTACCGCTTCATTATCAAGCTCTGGGGATTTTTGGAGAGAAAGTTAGTAATATATTTCTGAAGCATATAAAGAAATGGCAGCATTAAGTGAGATAAGCAATTGAAAACAAGTGAGCACATTCACCATTTAATTATCTGTCTTCTATTAAGAAGATAAGGATGAATTTAGCACTAGAACCCTTGAGTGTCACAAAAGCATAACTTTTAACTAATACCTTGAATCATTTTCTAGTAATCCTCTAATCAGATTAACGGAGGACAGTCCTATGCTGCTACACCCCACTTCTGATGCATTTGCTAAAGAATAGCCAAGTGCCAAAAACCGAGAACAGAAAATGAGAGATTGAACAAGCTAAATCTGACACTTCAGCACAATTAAAAGAGCTGATATCAGTGTGTTCCAAAAGGGTATTACTATAATCCTTTGCATGGTTACTTTTTTCTGTGATTTCAGTAACCTGAATCAACTTTGGTCTGAAAAATATTAAATGGAAAATTCCAGAAATAAACTTCATAAGTTTTAAATACCTTTTATTTTATTATTAACTATTGTTAATCTCTTACCATAACTAATTTATAACTAAACTTTATCATAGATAGGAAAAAACATAGAATACATTAGGGTCTAATACTAGTTGAGGTTTCAGGCATCCACTGGGGTCTATGGATAAGGCGGGGCAGGACTTCTGTCTATGGGCTTATAAGAACTAGAAAGTCAGGCAAGGACTTTTGGAATGCACTCTTTCCCAACCATCCAGCAATTTCTTTGTCAAGTCTGTGAGTTAATTTGTGAAGTGTCTTTAGCTTGGTCCATGGCAGAGTGTTGTTGAAAGGGAAGATCACATAGTGGTCAGAGAAAAGGGCCTGGACAGCTGGTCTATTCCTGCTAGAGCACTGACCAGCTGTGTCCCCATGGGCTAGCCTGTAGCCTGTGTAACCTCAGCCTCAGCCCATTAGATCTTCATGCCTCATCTGTAAGGTAGAGAAAGCAGCTCTCTGTCACAAAGCTGGAATGAGTTGCCATGCACACACCAGTTCAAACACTGTCCCCTTCAGAGACAGTCAACAAATATTGAACTGTTTTACTTAGGAAAAAGAACTTTTTTACTTAGAAAAAAAGAAGGGAGTAGGGGTTGGAGCCAAGGACTGAATAGAAGAAGTACGTATTGAATACCTGGGGTGGACCAAGCATTATGTTGGGTAACTGACACACAATGTTTTTCATCTTCAAGTGCTTCCTCTCTGAAGGGCACTCTTGTCTACACTGGGCACAGTGGCACACACCTATAATCACAGAGACTCCAGAGGCTGAGGCAAGAGGATCTCAAGTGCTAAGCCAGCTGGGCAATTTAGTGAGAACCGTATCTCTAAATAAAAAATAAAAAGAGCTGGGGTATAGCTCAATGGTAGAGCACTCCTGGTTCAATTTTCCCCTCCAAAAAAAAAAGAAAGAAAGAAGAGATATTGTAACATTAATAATTAATAAATGAGAGCGTGTGCTGTTTGTGCTGATAGAAGAAGATAAAGGGGCACCAGATGTCAGTTAACACAAATGACCACTCCCCATTCTGCAAACTGATGATAATAACAACACCAAGGCAAGTCTGGGGCACTGGCTTGTTGGTAACAATTCTTTCAGAAAAAAAATGCCTTGTGGAAACATTCATAGGTGGCTAATTCGAAGGGGGAAATAGTGACATTGAAAAACAATCCTTACATTTTAATTTAAGTGCTTTTTCATATTTGAACTCATAAAAGAAAAAAATTCATTTTCTACAAAGTAAGACATCTTTTTTTTCAGAGAGAAAAAATGGAATAGAACATCTTGAGGAAGCACAATATGCTGGTCAGCTGGGGTATAGCTCAATGGTAGAGCATCTGTGAGGACAGACAGGAATAGCATGGATAAAAGCAATTAGTGTACCCCTTTCTGTCTCCAACCTTGAAAGTAGAATTACAATAGGACTAGAGGGATTTTTTTTTAAAACCTTGATGGTTGAAAACAAGCCAGCATCAAGCTTATGTAGTATCTTGATAGTACAATCCTGTATATACAATAGCCCACACAGCCCAAAATAGTCAGCCTTTAACTCTGATATTTCAAGGATTTTTTTAGTTAGCTTGTATAACCCTATCTTCGTTCAAATATATATTTTATAAAAATAGCTTATCGATTATTTCTTTTTCTACATTTCTTCTGATATTTGAAAGGTCATTCTCCATTTGTAGATTCAACCATATTTCACAGTACATATGAGAATTGTAATGATATTCTGCCAAAAACTGTATTTCAATCTGTGATGTCTATCTGTCTTGGAATTAAGGATAGTCACATTTCTTCCAGGAAAACAAGGAATAAATCAGGCAGATGAGCACAGATTTATTTTGTTCCTATTAAATGTGTGTATTTGTTTTCTTAAGTGCAGGCACAAGGCCTCTGTGTCAGGCATGAACAGGCAAGTACAGAGCACCTTCTGGGTTGGCACTGATGCTTGGGGTTCCCAGTAGAGCAAAAAGAGTGAGATCCCATCTGGCCCCATGGATCTCACATTGAAGAAGGCAGCCAGAAGCATAACAAATTTAACAGATTATGCTAAATGCAACAGTGGAGATTTGCACAGTATTTCTTGTGGCACAGAGAAAGGGCACCAAATTCTACCTGGGATGACAAGAAGAAGACCCAAGTTAACAGGGAAGGACAGGCCTATCCCATAGAATATGGGTAACAGAAGAAAAGCACTGTAGGCTACCCACCATCTCTGGGAGTAAATTCAGTGCCTTCCAGCTTTCCCAGATGCCCATGACACATCAGTTAATAATCACTAGTTTGCTCAAATGGCCCCAGTTCTATTCCTGCCATGAATTTTCACAGGTGATTTTTTTTTTTAATGAAGAAGAAATTTGTGTCTTAGCAAATCATTATATAAAATCACAACATAGAATGCACAAAGCAATGGAAGAATTGTTGAAGACAAAGGAACCTCTGCCCTTTTGGTTTTAATTAGGATGAATGTTTTTGTGTAAAACTGGAATAAGAATGAAATGGAATCAATTTACAAAAAAAAAAAATTGAAGCACTTAAGAAGAAACTTAATTGTTGTTGAAAGAATTAGACTCTAATGGCTTAACAAGAACTTAATTAAATTTCAAAGTAAAATAACTACAGTTTAATAATGGTCTTTCTCTTGAAAAACTACAAGGTCTCTTAGAGCTTATCAGGTATTCCTTGGCTTACAAATGAGTAGTGGTTAGATTGCCTATTGTTTTTCTTACTTTGCTGATGCTGGGATTTTGTGTGTGTGTGTGTGTGTGTGTGTGTGTGTGTGTGTGTGTGCAGCATTATTCTATTCTTAGCACTGTGCAAATAGGGATGCATCTTATATATACCCCTGAATATTTGAGTGGGAAAAGAGAGGGGCCTCACTGAAACCTGACACATCCAAAATCTGTTCTCCTTCTGTAGAAGAACAGGCACACTTGAAAAGAAAATGTTGATTAAAGAAGTCAGTCATCATGTGTGTTGAAAATGCTAAATGCTCTTATAGAAATGACAACTGGCCAAAGTAATTAATTACTCATTAATAATTACTCATTAATAAAGGACTGGGAGAAGTGTTTAGAAAGGAGAATTCCTTCATGGGATGAATTAGTGGGACCTCTGACCCAAAAGCCAGTGAAAGAAATAATATTTTGCACAAAGTTGAAAACATTTTTCTTATTTTTCCCCCCCAAATAGCCTCGTCACGTGTTCACCATGCTGAAGAAGTATGTCCGTGCCGAGCAGAAAGACAGACAGCACACCCTAAAGCATTTCGAGCATGTGCGCATGGTGGATCCCAAGAAAGCTGCTCAGATCCGGTCCCAGGTAAGCCCTTCTCATGGGAATCATCTGTAGCTCTGACAGTCCGGGGTTCTGGTTTCTTGGGTGTGGCCGTACAATCTTCAGGTATTACCTATGGTCTTTGTCTCAATGGCAAGAGCTCTTTAAGGCCTGGTAAATTGTAAAAGTTAATCAGGGACGAGTATGTGGTTTGACATCTTGCAAATAATCAGGAATATGAAAATCTTAGGTATCCACTGCCACTGATACCATTTAACATGAACCATTTAAAACTGACCACTAAAATAAAGAAAATGAAAAAAATGAAACTAAAACCTGTCCTAGTGGCTCAACTCAATCGTGGCAGGCAATCATAAACTTCATTGCAACGACAAGGTTTAGATTAAATGTGAGCTTGAATGAAGCCCCGTAATGTTTCATATTCCCTCCTTCCCAAAGACTCAAAATGGGGATCTATCTCTGGAAGGCTGACATTTTCTGTTTCCTTAAATGGAATAATTTTTAAACTACCTATGTTTAGCACGAAATATCCAAACACACCGAAATGTTCTCATCTATTAGGAAATTGCAAAGAAATAAATTTAGGAAATCAGAAGCTATTTAGGAAGCCTCAGTCTTAGAAATCAGAGTTGGCACAGGTGGTCTTTTTAATCGACTCTTCCAAGCATACAAAATGCTGGTAAATTTAAAGGTAAGTCTTCAAACTAAGCTAAAATGTTAGAGAACAAAAAAACAACAACCAAAAAAAAAAAAAATGGGAGGGAAAAAAAAGCAAAAATGCCCTTTTAGTTAAATATTCCAGCCACATTGCTTAGTTTTGTTTTGGAAGTTTGTATCTGTCTGCAAGGCTTGATAAAGAAAATAACCATCCCCATCCCAGAGATTGTTCACCTGGTCTTGTCACCCTTCGATGCAGGTTATGACACACCTCCGAGTAATCTATGAGCGCATGAATCAGTCTCTGTCCCTGCTCTACAACGTACCTGCAGTAGCTGAGGAGATTCAGGATGAAGTTGGTAAGTGAGCTGTTCTTCTGATCCCATGCATGTAAACACCTCTTCCCCTGGAGAAGAAGTCAGGGAAGTGAGTTCTTCCATATCAGGAACCAGTGTTTGAGTACATGGAAGTTAAAAGAGCTGATTGCCTTTTACCACGAAGATCTTAAGAGTTCTTTCTCACTTTTGCAACTGCTGTACCACTTCTTAACTCTCCACATGTGTGATATTGGAGGAATATAACTTAACCTATGAGAGACTTGTGTAGCTATCAGCCACTTTTATTGAAGTATACTTGTCAGCAATTATTTTCCAATTTATTCAATCTTGTGACTATCTCCTAACTAAACTTTGCTGTTTTACAATTAAGGGGGAAAAAAAAACTTCCTTTGTCACCCTAACATTATGAGTAACATAGCAGCCCCATTTTACAAATGAAAACACTCTGACTTACAATCTAAGTAACTTACTTCTCAGGTCCCAGGCATCTGAAGTAGCACAGCCAAAACACAAAATTGTGACATTCTGACCTTGAGGTTATTGTTATATTCAATAAATCACAATTCTCTTTGATGGGACAAAAATATCACAAGTGTTCTTTAAACCACATTGTTGTTTGGACTTAAAAGGTCATGGACTATTAAATTTACTTTGAAATAATGATACTATCAGGAGTTGGAAAAATAATAGAGAAGGTCCATGCATCTGTTACCCAGTTTCCGCAGGGATGACATCTTACATAACTGTAGTTGGTATGTTATCAAACCCAGGAAGTTAGCATTGTGTGCCCACTGTCTTTTTTGTCCCTAGTTTTCCTGATAACACGTTTAGTATTTCACATGAATAAGTTCTCCCATTTCTGTTTTTTTTCTTGGAAAGGGAACAAAGTATATTGCATAACATGATGTTCCAAAAATCTCCAAAATGCCAGTATCTCACAAACACACAAGAGTGATAATTCTGGTGGTAAATCTTTCAAATGTAATTGTACTAGAGATTTGGTGCACAGATAATCAGCAAATGGGCAGTATGTTTCTGGCATATCCTTTTCCAGAAAGAATCCTGCTCCTTGTTAACTGAGTTTGAAAAAATAGGTACAGATTATCATCTGAAATTAGGACACCCATGTTGCTGTGGATAAATATGTTCACTACAGTAATTTCTACTGTGAAGTCCCTGCTCAAGATCGCAGTTGGCTTGCTTTTTGTATTTTATGCCAATACTAGTCTACTTTTTTTTTTCTAACTTACAACTGCCCTGTAAATGTTATTTGTATAACTGTCAAGTATTTGGTACATGTCAGGTCTGTTCAATGCTACGTGTTAGTGGATGGATCAAATGCACTTAAGGCTACACGCTTGCAAAAGAGACCTTGTAATGTGTCCTCTAAATCTCTGCTCAGAAGGGGGAACTTAGCATTGAGCAAGATCTTACAAGCACTGGTCGATGGAGTTTTCAGTCTCTCCCTTGAATTGAGAACACAAATTTTCAATTTATTTTTCACTCTGTTAAGTTTCTTTAAGAAATGGATATTGTTTTTTGATAGACTTGTAGGACAGAAATCAGAAAGGAACTTTTAAAATACTATATATAAAATGTAGGAAATTCCTCTGCAAAGTTTGATAAGGGACAAATAATCAAATAATTCATCACATTCTTAATGAACTGAAGCCAAAATCTTCTAGGTGCATATACTTCTACCGTATGATTGTCTCAAGCCTCTTTTCAGGTGTGACTTCAATTGAAGGTGGTGTCCATGATAACAGACTAGAGAGGAATAAGCCATTACAAAGATCTAGAAAGTGGATGATCTACTCCACTTGCACCTGTAATTATGTGTGGGTCTTTCTAATTAAAATATTAGAACTGGCCATTTGACAACACGCTACTGAACAACATGAGCCACCAATGAATCACATTTCCATGGAACAGATGGTGATTCAGAATCTGGAGTGTTGCAGAATGCCCAAGAATAGGGCAACCCAGTAAACCTCAAATCTCAGTGATAAGTAGAATCATGGAGGGTTTTTTCTTCTTTTCTTCAAAGAAAGAAAGAGGCCCTGCTATTAAATAGGATCAAGAATAAATTATTTTTAAAATATTTGTTTCATTCTAAACCTACTGGTCACCAAATCCTGAAAGATAATATTCCCCCTCTCTCTCCTCCCTCCCTCCCTCCCTTCTCTCCTTCTCTCTCTCATCCCTCCACTCTCTCTCTCCCTCCCTCTCTCCTCTCTCCCTCCCTCTCCCCCCCTCTCTCTCTAATATTTAATTTGGAATCCTGTGTGTTTTCATTTGTAATGGCTATTTCCTATAGAAAGAGAAGCTTGCAGTAATGAACTTCTATTAATTAGACCTGTGCACCCTTTGAGCTTCTAATACCAAAGCTAAGAAAGAGAACTCTTTGGGGGAGAATAGCATTTTTGAGTTGACCTCAGTTGATTCTGTCTTTCTTTATTTGAAGGAATATTTTAAAAGAATGCACTCTCAACTAGGATTTAGATGAAACAAGATTGGGGGGTAACTGTTTGTGCTGAGTGGTATTTGGGAGTTCCTAATCTTACTCTCTACTTTTGGGTATGTTAATTCTCTGTCATACAAATTTTGGTGGGTTTTTGTTTGTTTGTTTGCATCCTTTCTAAATAAGATCTTCATTCATAGATTTCTTCTAGTTTACATCTTAAACTGTTTGTTACAGTCTCTAATTTCATGCTTTGTCATCAGTCTAGTTGGTGTTTTCTACCATTTCTCTCGTAATCAAGCTTTAGATTTAGAGTCAATTCAGTACAAATAAGGAGGATACTAAAAATTTCAGAGCTGCTGGCAAAAGAACATGATGTGAGAGTACCTCAATTGCATGCCTTTTGTATAGAAGTTGGTGCTTATAAACAGAGGCAATTAGGATGGTTATTGCAGTCAGTCAAGTAGAGAGACTTAACAGTACTTGAATTAACTAATGGCTCCAGGTGCTTTCTGGACGAAGGGGCTTCACTTGTCTAAGGAACTTCCAGGATCTGTTTCTGTAGTGACTAGGTCTATCTACTTCCGTGAATGATGCTCCCAGTTAGATTTCTCCTTTGGTGAAAATCAAAGGAAGAAAATTCCTATGCCAGAAAGAGAGAAGGCTGTGGTTGGAGGTGGGAATTGGAATCAAATTTGTGAGAATAAATAAATAAATCATGACTAGAGCACATGGTTAAAATCATGCTCATGAATTCTTGCCCCAGCCTCTTTTTAACCCATTGTGCTTCCGCTGAGACATCCCATCTGCTAATCCTACTTTCCTGATAACTCCAGTAAATCCCAGGTCCATAGTTCTAGCAACAAATAGCCTGTCTTCCGAGTCCCAGTGCCACCTTCCTGGCCATCAGAAGCTCACATGCCTTCACAACTCCAGTCATTGTGCATAGGAGAGAACTCCATATGGTTCTCCCCATCTGGCCTAACATTATCCACGAAGGCTTCCACTCTCTCGCCCATGGTTTCTACAACCCCGAGTCCTCTCTCTTTTACCTTCGATTCCTGCAGTTTCAACATGAAATCCTTGCTCTACACACCCACTACCTTAGATCAGTTCCTGTCCTCATCATTTTCATGGACTCCAGCCGGTCACACTGCCCCTTCTCTGGGCCCCTTCCCATTCAAATTCTTCCTCTTCAGCCAGATTCCCTGCTGAAATAGAAATGACTGCTGCACGTGAAGCTTCCTTGATTAAAAAGTTGCATCTTTCAAGATTCAACTGAAACATTTATGCTCCTGTAAACACTTATGAAATTTGCTCAAGAATGAAAGGGAAAATGCTGGCATTTGGTGATAGCCAGATAGTGAACTAGTAAGCATCTGGGATGTCAGTGGCCCAGGTTCTTGATGAAAGTTCACCATGGAGGACCACCATGTTTAGATTTAGGGAAATAGTCAGGACTGACAGCCATTGTACACCCCTCTCACAGAGCCAAGCCTGCTGGCACTGGGCTGTGTCCCCCTGAAGCAGGGCTTTCTTGTACATCACATAGATGTAACACATGGACAAATGACAACCCTGGGGAATTCAGCGATCATATCCTGTTTGCAGCTGAAGAAGCTGAACCTCAGAGGGGCCACTAACTTGTCCACACAAGTAGTACAGGATGAAAGTGGGACTGAGAGGCTGGGGTCTCTCAGAATCTCAGGTTCACATTCTCTCTGCTACCTGTTGTTGCCTCCAAGGTTGAATTTATAACCTCAGTGTCCAGAGCACTGGGTAACCACCTCTAGTGCTGTCCTGAATTCCATGCTGGTTTCTATTTCCACCTGGGAATCCTTCATTCCGGGAGCTCTTGTGGGCCATCCATGCCATGGTCATCTGCCTCAGGATTCAGCAGGGATCCTGGTACTTTGTAGGTGTTAATAATTGTAGCCATAAGGATGAGGCAAAGCCCCAGGCTGCAAGGTCGGTGCTCCTCCTTCCTTAGCACCCAGCATAAGTCTTGGAACAAAACAAATCTCTGCTCAGCCACGGTGTTCTCCAGAGCTGTGGTAATTGATCAAGCCAACAGCATGCATGCGGTTGGCAGAGATATCAGAGAATAAAGCAGAGTTCCAAGGACTGTTATTAATAACATTCCACAACACGGTCCTATATTGTACTATGACTCTGTGCTATTTGGTCATCTCCCCAGTTCCCATACCTTATAGCTCAATTATTAATTATGTTGCCTGATTTGACTACGCTGTGAATTTTCAAACTGCTCTATTTGTTTTTTTCATAAAGTGGTTAAACTTTTATTATTTAAATTTTTTGTTAATTTTGTTTGAATTATTATCTGTAGGTTTCCAGGCTCCTTTTTTTCCTTGATATTTTCCTTTTTTAAAAAAAAAAAAGAAGAAGAAATGATTATTTGCATAAAAATTATGAAGCTTTCCTGCTAAGAAAGGCTGTAGGCGCTGCTTATAGAGGGGAGAAATTCCCTCATGTATTTTAAATAGTTGTTCAGGACTTTGTTTTTTCATTCAACAAATGATAAAATCATTATTTTAATGAA